ACAGGATCTTCGAGAGAGCCAATGGCGCCCGGGTCAAAAATGAAGAGCGGCGCCCTTAATTCAAACCAAGAAATTAAAATACTTAAATTTAAAAAATTTTGTGAACGCAAAAATTTATTTATTTTTAATACAGCACATTGCCATTTTACGTTACTATTAATTCTCTGAATTGATTACGATTCATTAATCAAAACTGATATATGAATCAAAATATTAGTTTTAAAACTATTAAAAAGTCAATCAATAAAACTTTTAAGAAACGTAAAAAATCGTTTTAAAATGATTTTTTGAGCTATTTTTGCCGCCCAAATTTTAATGACGTTCTTGTAACTCACCTTTTTAGTCGAATCTTCTTTAATAAAAATAATCAAATACCAGTAACGTAATCCTGACACATTGTCAAACGGAGTTTTTTTACAACTTTCAGTTTACAAAACAATCGTTCACCCTTAGCAACTGACTTAAAAATGATGTTGAAAATTCGAGGCATGATGCAAATATATGTAAAAGGCGTTCAAGCTTCTTCTAAAAGATTGCTCTAGAAACTGCATTAGATTGCTAACTTGAAAATTGTTTTGCGGGCATTGGTAAAGCGGCGAACTTCTTCTTTTTGCTTACATCTCTCGGATGAAACCGTGCGAGTTCTCATGCTTTATTTTTAACGGAAAGATTATTATTATTCAACCTGAAGAATGAAAATATTGTTAACCACCCTGCTTGTTTCAAATGTTGAATCAATCTGCTGGATAAGATCATCTAAACCAACATTGAAAATGTTCACTTTAAATTCTTTTGTTTGGCTTTCATGGAAATGGACTGTGTTTGATGCCTTGTCATGAAAGCGCTTTAGCTTACACTTTCTTTTAGGAGCGAGTTCAGTTTCGAATCCTAGCGGTAAACTACAACTGCAGCCTCTTAGAAAACTTGCAACCAAATCCCTAATCCGTTTAAGACAAACATCGTTAACAGTAGTAAGAGTTTTGTACCGAATCGTAATAAGCAATACAAATTGAAAAGATAGTAATCATTTTTTTAAATCTCTTGTTTGGCTGAGCTGTTCACTGGTCAGATCCAGATTTTTCATGATATGTTTAAAAGCTGCCAACATTTCTCTCGGCCTCTTGGCAAGTGGTTTGATCAAGTTGGTATGAGATCTCTATCTTTTCAGAGAAAGTCTATGCAGTAAAATTCCAGTTGCTTTAGTGAGAATCTTCCATCGGGTTAGACTTGGACTAAAAAATACGTTCCAAGATTCAACATTTTTGAAGAATGCTTTGATCTCAATGGCTGATTCAACTGCGAGCGCACCAGCCAAAATCAGACTATGAGCGCTACAGGTAAAGTACAGAACTTCTGAATAATTTAGCCTTATCAAGCTCTGATCTCCCTTGTAAGCACCTGACCTACTGGATCCTTTATCGTGTCCCTGACCACGACATTTTTGAATATCCATACATAGCCTTAAAATCACATTAGTGATAAGCTTAGTTATATTAAATCATTTCTTCGTCTCAAAAGTTTCAACACATTGTTTTTTAATTTTTCTAGCAAGTAATTTCTCTTTCATAGAGGAGAAAACGAGTTACAAAGGTTATCGCTCAGTATGAGATATATTAGGGGTACCATCAACTATGGTTGTGAAGTAGATACCATCCTGAATTTTTTCGACAGCTGCACTTTGGGTAACACCATATTCTTTGGTGAACTTGTTTTGAGACGACGCAAAGAAATAATGGGCACTCATTGTGGAGCCTTCTTGTTGATGTTGTCATTATAAAGTTTTCTCAATATCAATTTTAATTATTTATATAGTTATTACAATAAATTAATTATAATTATTGTATACATTTTCTAAGTGGTATATTACAAATTATTGTAATAATTATATTAAAAATTAAAATTGATATTGAGAAAACTTTCTAATGAGCAACCTAAAAAAGCTTTTTGTCACAGAGAAACTTCTATTGAAGAAATTAAAAGGGTTTTTTTTTAATGATTCTTTCCTTTTGTTATGGTGTTTACGGCTTGCATCAATCAAATTACTGTGTCATCCGAACAACTGACTCATACGAACAATAATGTCCATAATTTTCAAAAATATATAAATTACCGTTTTCCTCTTCTGACGACATAAAGTTCGTAACATAATACTATAAATTAAAATTAAAATAAACATACAAAACTACAATAAAAGAGTTCTTAAACTTAAAAAGTAAAACATGTTAAATAATTCACTGAATTTAAACATGTAATAATTTTTTTATCAACAACAAACAAATAATTGCAAAATTTGAATAGTTCAATATTTATGTTGCTAAAAAGTGTAAAAATGTTATAATAAGAAAGAAATAAGTTAAAATCATCAGCAAACATGACTGTCATTACGTTAGAATATCATTAATATATGTTAGAAATAGGAGAGGTCCTAATATGGATCCTTGAGGAATTCCACATAAAATATTAAACAAAACTGGATGATATGTTATCATATGCATAAACAAATTGTTTTCAATTATTTAAGTAACTTTTTAGCCAAATTAATATATTTCTAGTAATTCCGCACCACTCCAACTTTTATTAAAAGAATTACGTGATCAATAGTATCTAAAGCTTTCGTCATGTCATTGAAAACACCTAAAGTAAATTCTCTAAAGTTAGATTCCTTAGAAACCAGGAAAACAGTCACATTCAAAGTTTCACGAAGAATTGTCAGCCGTTTAGCTGTCTCAGAACTTATTCAATTATGGAGCTCTAAATATTTACCAGTGGAGCTGGTAAGACGAATGTAGGCCTCTTTCCAATCATTGTAGAACCTTTAGTGCAATGGGCTGCATTGATGCTGCTTCACACGACTTATGAGTTTCCTCCGTTGATCTGTAGGTCCTCAATTTCAACGAAGAAGGGACAATTAGCCGCTTTTGAATACTGCTTTTGTGCTGGAGATCTCTTTAAAATAATTGCATCTTGATCTTTTTGACTCAAAACAACTTCCCACAAAGAAGGGTTAGCATTAATTATTACCAAGTTAAGTTGAACCTTGCATTCTCCACTGTTAGATAAAGTTCCTTTTTCTGACTCTAATGGTTCACTTTGAAATTCATTAGGCTCAGCTTGAGGGAAATGGTTTAAAACCCCACAGCGCTTTTATTGTAA